CACCTCTGCCCCCTCCTGCCTGCCAGCTCTGGGAGATCCTGACAAGCCAGGAAACTTCTCTAAAAGGGGTGGGCGGGGTTCAGGGTTGGGGGAGGGCCCCTCTGCCAGGCGCCCGTCATCTCCCCTCCACCACACAGCTGACAGACACTTGAGAACTTTCCTTCCCAAGCCTGTGTCCTGCTGGTTCGGGGCAAAGTGTGCAGCTTTCCCACCAGGATCAGTGAGGAAATGGCCTGGTTTGGACTCAGACAGAATGATTTGTTTTCCCAACAAGGCCTCAGCTCAGTGCAGGGAGCCCCAGCATTACCCGTTTTTCCAGGGTGCCTCTCCCTCCCTCCCTCCCCGTCCCTGCTCCGAGAACACATCACCTAGTGTCTGTAAGGCTTCTGCTTCTTGTTTGACATCCCTTATTTACAAAGCAAACAGAATGTTCCTTTTAACACACATCATGCTAAGTTTATTAATGCAGAAAACAATCCCAGGGGGCCGACCCAGGGGACCTTTGAAACCTGCCAGCACAAACTCTTCAAACGCTTAGTGCGTCAGATCCTCCAGGACAATATTTCACACAATGGAGTAAAAATAATATTTTTCTTTGGCCCTTTCCAGCCGCTTTTGTGGCGAGCAGACAGAAATTATTTTCTTACTCTGCTCCTCAGAGCAGAAATCTGGACGAAGCTGCGTTTATTTGTTTAACGCCATGATTTCATCCTAAATGTCTCGACAGCAAATAGTTCGTGGTTTAATAAAGGGCCTTTGAAAGGAGGCTGGAGCTGGGGAGATGTGAGGCCTGTGGCTCTCAGGGGCCGAGTGGCCACGGGCTACTGCGGCTGGAGCAGAGGAGGATTGGGTGCCCCCCTCTGGCCGACTGGGAGCTCGGGGACAATTCGTGCTGCTTCCATCCTGGAGAAGGAAGGAGACTGACCCTTTGGTCACAAATGCCAGGTCTTCCCCAAGACCAGCTCTGCCAAATACAGGCAGACACAAACCCAAAAGCAGATTCTCAAAATTGCTTGAAAAAAAGAAGCCTTTTGAATTCATTCCTGCTTTCCCCTGATGAAAAATTATGTCCATGTCAACCAAATGTTGGTTGCTGTTCTGATGCCAGCCCAGAGTTCAGTAGCCAGGGCTCTGATTATGAGGAGGGAGAGGGAACAGCACCAGCTCATGCCCATTGACTTCACCAACAAGCAGACCCTTCGCTCCAGCCAACAAGGTCTTCCAACTTGCAATTAGACGTGCCAACCGAGGGGCTTCCTCAGTGGCGCAGTGGATGAGAATCCACCTGCCAATGCAGGGGACACGGGTTCGAGCCCTGGTCTGGGAAGATCCCACATACCACAGAGTAACTAAGCCAGTGCGCCACAAGGACTGAAGCCTGTGCGCCTAGAGCCCGTGCTCCACAAGAAAAGCCACTGCAAGGAGAAGCCTGCGCACCGCAACGAAGAGTAGCCCCTGCTCACCGCAACTAGAGAAAGCCTGTGCACAGCAACGAAGACCCAATGCAGCCAAAAAAAAAAAAAGTGTCAGCAAAAACTCAGAAAGCCTCATTTGTGCTTCACTTCTTCTCCTTGGGAAGAATTGTCAGAGGGAGTAAAATGGAACAAATATACTCAGAGGAAAAGAGCCAAGGGAAGGTGGTGAATGGTATAAAAATTGCCCAGGTGGTCCTAGATCATCAGGGTCCAGCTCCCTCATTTTACAGGGGAGGAGGGAGGCCCAGAGAGGGCCAGTGACATGTCTGAGGGCACACAGCTATTAGAGCTGCGACTGGAACCCAGGCATCCGACTTTCGAGATAAAATGAGAAAAGAGACCAATCTAGCCTTACAGCTAACAAAATCAAAAAGCTGAATTACAGGTCTCATTTTTGCCAGTTGGGACTTGGATGGAACATCTGATTCAGTTCCTGGTGGTCTGGTTTTTGGAATAGCTGATTTGGATCTGAATCAGTTTCCAGAAGGGATGCAAGAACCAGCGAAGAAGAGAATATCTGTTTATACATACAGATATATTTCCAATTATAAAAATAATAATTATTCATTGAAGATTATATAGAATATATACAAGTATATAAACAAGACAACAAAGATTACTTAATGGGCTTCCCTGGTGGCGCAGTGGTTGAGAGTCCGCCTGCCGATGCAGGGGACACGGGTTTGTGCCCCGGTCCAGGAAGATCCCACATGCCGCGGAGCGGCTGTGCCCGTGAGCCATGGCCGCTGAGCCTGCGCGTCCGGAGCCTGTGCTCCGCAACGGGAGAGGCCACAGCAGTGAGAGGCCCGCGTACCGCAAAAAAAAAAAAAAAAATTACTTAATTATTATAAGTACCTATAATAAAGTATTACTGTTAACTTATTGGTATGTCTCCTCTTGGAGATTGCTTTTGTCCTTGCTTCTATATGCTTTTTATTTATTTATTTACAAAATTAAGATCCTCATTGCTTTTTTTTAAAATTATTTAATTTATTCTTAAGTATCTCCCCATATCACTAACAGTCACTCTGAAGCATGACCTTAGAAAGGCCTGTGGTATCCATCATATTATATGACTGTTATAATTCCTTTCCCCAATACCCTGAGTCTGGTCATAGAGTAGAATATCTTGGAGTAGGTCTTAAGGAACAGACACTGAAAGACTGTCAGGCTGTGTGGGAAATGGCCCCCAAATTCTTACAGCAACTGAAATCTTTCCTCCACCTCAGAGTAGCTTCGATTGCTCTCAAATCCAACTGCCCGCCCTGCCCTCAACTCTCTTTCATCCTTCCCATTTCTCTCTTTTTCCTATTTCCTTTCCAGGCCTGAGACAGGCATATATTAATTCCTTACATCTGCATAATATTTTACAACCTCAAAGAGTTTTTATAAAAATGGCCTCATTTGATCTTCTTTAAAAACCTACAACATGGGCAAGGCAGAATGATCTCAATTTTACATTCAACAAATGTTGCTTGAGTGCCAACTTTTTGCCTTTTAATAGCCACTGAAGGAGGGATTCAAATAAGTAAGTCTTTATTTCAAGGAATTTTTAGTCTAGTGAGCACTTTTAAGAACTTCAGTAGGTGATGGCTGCTGTTATTATTGGCTTAGATGACTTCTGTCACATGGCTAGTTAACGGCTCAGGCAAGTGACCTAGCTCATCTTCCACTTTCTGTACTCTATCCCCTATACCACAACAGTTAGTTAAGAGTTGATTCAGAATTGGGGGGAATGGTCAGGGCACATGGTTGATAGGAAGCTTTTAGAATTTCCTCCACCCCTTCCTCTCAAGCCCTAGTACAAGGTCCTAACACTTAAGACGCCAAATTTCCCTAATTGGAGTCCATGAATTGTTCTTTGTGTTGGAGGTAGACATAATGTAATTTATCTTTTAATGAACAAGTAGTTGTTTTGGATTAAACTTCTTCACCCCTCGAAGGATAAAAAGGAGGAAGGAATTGATAATAGTTATTGAGCATCTCCCATGTCTCTGCTAGTTTATGTACTCTATGCTTTACATATATATTTCATTTAACTCAGAACACACAAGAGGTTTTATTCATTGCTGTATTGCTTAGGACCTAGTGCAATATTTACCACATAATAAGCATTGAATATGTACTAAATGAATTAATGAATACTCACAGGTAAGAAAATGGAGATTCTGAAAGGTTAAGCAATCAGTATTAGGGCACCTAGCTAGTAAGCAATGGAATTGGGATTCAGTTGTGATTCTTCCTGGCTCTAGAGATGTGCTTTCCCAACAATCCACCCTGTGTCCCTTGGTAAGCTGTGTGCATGCTTTAGGCTATGGAGGGATTATTCAGTCATCATGGGTGTGGTGGCTTGGAGAGTCTGGTGCACTGTGCACAGACTACCATTTGGTTCATTTTTGTCTCTTTCTACAGTTCCTAGCACTTCACTATGAAAACAGCACCTGCTGTTGTGTCTGCTGATGGACTGTTCCCTTCCTCTAAGTCTTTCTGGATGCTCCTACCTTATATCATCGTTTGCAATGGCAATTTGACTCCTTGAGAGTAGAGAGTATGTTATGTTAAGCACTACAGTGTTTTTATATTCTTTTCAGAGATATGAATAACAATGGCCTCCCTCTGAAGAAGATAAAGCAAAAAAAAAAAAAAAAAAAGTCAAGCTTTGCAAATGTTACCTCTAGGTGCAGACCTGTGCCATTACTAGGGACCTATTGGGCAGGGATAGGAGAGCTGCTGGCGGAGCTGCACCTTTCCTCTGGGAATGTCAAGTGTTCTCCTTTGGTCTGCGTGCTGGGTCCCGGCCAGGGAGCTAACTGTTAGATCTTGAAGGAAAGGCTCTTGCTAGCAAGACTACCTGCCTAGCGTGTATATCTTTAAATCCACTGTATATGTCATTGTTCAAATGTCTTTGGGAATTTAGAATCCAGATGCTTATGTTTCATGCATTGCCAAGATGTAACATTCCGTAAGATTTGGAAAATAGAGCTTTATGAACTAAAATCAGAGTCAGCTACTCTGAAGTTGAACAGCATCTACCTTTTTTTTCTTTCTGAATAGTGAGATCTTTGCTGGTAATATACATATTGACATAAGAGAACAATGATGTCTAAAGGATTATAGGCACTCTCTGGGAACATCTAATTGATACTAAAAGGCTCTGTCAGGACTGTTTGGGAAAGAAAATTGATGGGTGTCAAGGAGAGTTGCTTTCAGCTCTGGCCGAGAACACTTTGGTTTCCTTTTTTATTGTCCTTACCTCTCCCCCATCCCAAGACTCACCCATTGCTCAAGTATGCGGTGCTCTTGGACTGAAACAACACCAGGTAAATATTTCAACACCAGCAAAATATTGACTGCTCCAGCAATATGATTTCTTTGTCTTCGTCACCCAAGTCTGAGTTTCAGCCCAGCAGTCTCTGAGAGATTTTTTGTTTAAGATAGGGAAGGGGGCCTTTCCAAAAGTGATGATTTTATTCTGCAACTTAAAAACAGGATCCTTCCTGAAATACGTTTTTTCTGGAATTCCAGAATGTGACCTGACACTCCAGATCTTCACTTTCCCTTTCTGGAACTTAGACCGTATCTTGGAGGCTCGGTAAGTTACAGCCAACCCGTTCATTTCTAACCTGAACCAAATGTAAGCAGTCCCATGTGGAGGTGACCCAGGGAACATTTTTCCCCACCTTCTGAGACTTGCTGTGTATATTCCTGACATGCACACAAATAAATGATGTAATTGATCGGGGATACTAAGCAGACCACTCACATGTAGCACCTGACTATAGAATAACTTAGCTTCTGACTCAAAGTTACTGGGCATAGAATCCTCCTAAAACCTCAAAGTGCTTGCTCCTGAATATATTAAATCTCTTTTACTTATCACATCACTTAAAGCACAATGACAGCCTGGCACTTTTAATATTCTTTTTATGACATGTCATGTCTATCACAGGTCAAAAGGGGTCCCCCAAACAAAGCAATAACATTGAGTGAAAACTTATATAAAGTCTCTCTATTAGAAAAGTTTGTTTTGGCCCCCAAACATCGGCTTTTATGGGTTCCTGTAAAATCATGACTATTTCTTAGCAGTAGGATTTTCCAAGTCTTGCAATGAAATTCTTAGTAATACTAGTGACTTTAAAATGAAGAATGAGAGACTTTGACCTCAGGAAAGATGGGTTGGCGTATTTTCCCTATTCATGCTACTAAATACAACTAAAACCCTGACATTATATATGAAACAAGCGTAGGAAGACTCTGAAAGACGGAAAGAAGAAGGCAGACCAGCTAGAGACATGAGGCCCCAAGGAACGATGCGGGGGTGAGTTCCCTGGGTTTTCTTGTTGTCTCGTATATCCTACACTTGGAGCTGCAGAAGCTGACCCAAGAAATGCCAGTGAGTGCAGACATAAAAAGCCCCAACAGAAGCCTGCTCTTTTTAGCCAAAGCACTAGGAAGAGTGCAGCCCAGCAAAGCAGAAAACTTAAATAAGAATCACTCTATTCCAGCCACATACTACGGGAAAAACTATGGCCTTACCCTACCCATGCCAGCAAAGGCCTAGACCCGCACCCTCCCAAGGCTGTAATGAGGCACTGCACCCCGCTACCATGATGGAGTTAGTGAAGACCAAATAGAGAGCCAGGACTTTTATCCCCGCCAGTTGGTAGTGAGGCCCACTGCCACCCCTGTAATTTTAGTGGAGCCCACGGGGGGGGGCCTAGATTTTTTCTCTCACCCAGAGGTGATGAGGTATCCCTCCTCTTCCCCACTGGGGTGCTGTCAGAGGAGGCCCGGTGGAGAGTCAGGCCTGGCAATTTCAAAATTGCCAGTGGTGACGAGGCCACCCCTACCTCAATGTCAGTGGAGACAGCATAGGAACCAGATCTACTACTCCTACAGAGCAGCAAAGAGGAGCCCCCTACCTTGGATACCATAGAGGACAACTGGGCAATCTGGTTTCTACCTCCACCTGTAAGTAACAAGGTGATGCACCCCACCTTCAACCGCTGGAGTGGTGTTCAAAAAGAAACCTGGGGGAACCAGACCAGAAGGTTTAAATAAGGCTCAGTCTCATAATATAATAGGAAAATGTCTAGGTTTCTATTGAAAATCACTTATACAAGAGCTAAGAAAATCTCAAACTGAATGAAGAAAGACAAACAATAGACTCTAACACTGATATGACAGAGATGTTAGAATTATCTGATATGATTTTAAAGCAGCCATGATGAAAATATTTCAGTGATAGATATTTGAGATTAATTTACCAAGATCTCACAGCTAATGACACACCAAGTTCCAAAGCCAGGTCTAACTAAGCTCTTTCTACCACAGCATGGTGATGCCCAAGTCTCCTTAGATTCATGGTTCATGGATCACTTTGCATTTTAGCATACAAGTTCTGTACTGCTTTGTCAGATCTACACCTAAGTATTTTTTAATACCTAAGAACTCCTGTTGCTGTTCTCTGTATGCTTCCTTTTCATAGCAACCTGTTCTTGTTTTGTGGTCACAATAACTTCTCAAGTTTCTCAAAGCATGTGACTATGCAGTTATAAAGGTTCTCCTTTATGTCTTGTATTATATATGTTCCTTCTGTTGTAGATAATTCTATTTGTTCTTTTTGGGTCCTCTTTTGTGGTGTTGATTTTCCCCAAATGTCCGTTGATTCTTGATGAGTCTTCCATATTTAAGGGTGGAAGGACTAGGTTAGTAATATGGGAGGCTGGTGTGAATCTTTTTTGCTGTTGAGTAGGTTTGCTGAGAGCTCTTGGTGACCATTTTTTTTCTTTGAAATCTTCATTGGTTTATATTAGTTTATAGAATTGAAAAGTGAGACTCGCCTGTCTCCATGATTTTGGCGATTCATATACTATCCATGAATTTTCAAAGATTACCGGCAGCCCCACCTGCAAATTGCAAACTGAAGTAAGGAAGACGTCAAGAATAAAGAAAGAATATTTTTAAAGGATAACAAGCAAGAGGATATGCTTAGGAAGAGGTGGTGGGTGTAGAACCTTGTCTCAGGTATACGAGTTCTTTATTTCTGTTGATTATTATGGGAACACAATGCCTCCCAGCCACAGGTGAGCTGTTCATAAATATTTATTGAGCTGAATTACTTTTCCCTAATTCTTCCCTTCCATTAAATAAGAAATTATTAAGAACATTCGCAAGTACTTTGAAATGCTTTTAAGTGAAAGATTATTTGGACCTGTTTAGTGTGCGCGTCACCTGGGAGGGCGACTGCCCCACGCCAGGTGCTGTTCTAGGAATTTTACGTACTTATGTTATTCAGTTATGATCACAGCCTGCGAGGCAGTGTAGCAGTTGCTGTTGGCTGTCTGTCCATGTCCACCCTCACTCTCCTCTATGCCACAGACTGTTACTGCAAGCACCTGAAATTCTCTGCCGAAATAACCTTTTACTTTTTCCTGGCTGCCGGAGCACACTCACCCCACGTGCAGGACACTGGGGTGCTCAGAGTTAAGACCCTCAGAAACAGCCCTCAGAATGACAGAGGGGGGACTTGGTGATAATGCCCCAGCTTCCTTAACCCTCAGCTGTGAGTATCTGGGGTACATTGTGCACACTCTCCTGGAGTCCCTCATGCAAAGGAGTCCCAGTTGCTCACAGGTAACCCCTTATCCGCTGCCTCCCCTCCCCTGTTTCACTTCTCTACCCACACCAGGGTGTCCCAGGAGCACCTTCCAAATAAACTCCTTACTCTCAAATCCCTGTCTCAGAGCTTCTGGAGGCACCCAAACTAAGGATACTGGGTAAAATTACTGTCCCCATTTTGCAAATGAAGAAACTGAGGCATTGAGAGGCTGGTTACTTGAACATGGATAGAAAGTTAATAAGTGGCAGAGTCGGGCTCCCAAGTCCAAGTTTTAACCACCACCTTATGATGCCCTAATGCCTCTGAGAGCTGATGGGGGCGCTAGGCACCTTGATAAGTGCTTCATCCAACCTCTTGTACAGGTGATAAAATAAGCTCAGTTAGGTTATGTAACAAATCCAAGGTCACAAGTAGTAAGTGTCAGAGTGAGGATTTAAGCTCAGGTCAGTGCTCTTAACCATCCTGCCACGCTGCCCCCTTGGCAGCCTGCAATGTTTAGCTGCTTTTTCAACTAGACGGCTCTCAGGTGGAGGTAAGCAGGGTCCAGGGCTCTCACTAGCATGTCCAAGGGGACATGAATTATAGTCCTTAAATGGGCTGCACCCCTTGTCCTAAGTCTTTGTGCTGGTTTTTTTTTTTTTGGTGTGAGTTTCATGAGTCTCCCTGTCAGCCTGGATCAGAGTCTCCAGGCTGTTTTCTTTCCTCAAGTAATACCTTCTAGTACTTACTTGCCTCTGCTCAGGAATGGTTCCGGGTGCTGGTCTTACCCCTGAGGAATGATGGAGAGAGGCCAGGGGTGGGTAAGGTAAGGCTGTCCGTGATGACTGAGCCTTTTCTCTGTGCTAGGAGCTTTGCATAAGTTATATCATTTAATCCTCTTAGAAATTCCTTAATGTAATTGCTCCTTTTCCCATTTTAAAAACCAGGAAACGAGGTTAAGAGAGGCTAAGTAACTTGCCCAAGGAATTCATCCAAGGTTAAATAATTCAAAACCCAAGTCTCTTGGACTCTAAAGCAGTTCTCTCTTCACTGAGCCGGGTGAGGGGCTGGCAAGTCAAGGATAGGTAGGAAGCTGCCAGCACCTTCCAGGGCACGCCCGTCCAGCATCTGCCGAGAGGTGCCAGACTGTTTCTGATTGTGATTGTTCTAGCATAAGATGCCTGCTTAAATCCCAGTTGGCTGGTACTAACGCTCATTGTAGGGGCAGATCTGTCATTCAAATCTTAAGCACATTCCCTTCCCATCTATGAGCATGCTCCAAGTGTTGGGCTCTGTGCTGACCATTACAAGATGGGGCTGAGAGAACAAGGAAAGATCTGATTCCTACTTGGGAGGACCCTAATGCCTGGTTTGGAAAAATGGACCACATGCAGATGAGGCAGCTAAACACACACGTGACACTTGTATATAAACTGCTTCTCGTGAGGGGACTGGGAAACAGTTGGGTTTGTTGGTGTGAATTTGAAGCCCCTTTCTGTACACTCATACCCAGTTTGGGATCCCATCGCTTGAACAAGACAGGAAAAATTGGAAAGGAACCAGAATAAATGTACAATATGAATTGCTCCATGACACAGATTATGAGAAATTTATTTTTCTAAAGCAAAATAAATTGGGTACACATAACTACTCTTCCAGATGTTGAGAATCCTGGGGCCAGATGTTGGGGTTCTGTATCTTCCCTACGTAAGAACCCTTGGGCCTGTGGGGCAGCAGGGTCTGTCCTCATCTGTCACCACTGTTCTTTTTGAAGGATGCTGGCTCGCCTAGCATCTTCTTCCCTCCATGCCAGACGTGGCCTCAGGGACCATCATGGAGAGTCCTGGGTCACAGAGGTCAGTGTCCACCTCCTCAGGCACTGGGCATCCTGATTCTGCCACCTCGGTGTTCCTGTGTGTGTGGGGCTCAGGCCTCTGTCCCTCCTGGAATGCTATTTATACAGACCCCTTCCAAATCTTGGGAGACTATCC